AAAATGGTATTTAAACAGTATTTGCACAGGCCTTGAGAATCGTTTACTTTTTTTAGCCTCGTATATTCCTGTAACAGTTGTCATTAAATGACATTTCCTGTTTCTCGTTTGAAGTGTTCATTTTACATCTTTAAATCTAAAATAAATTGCACATATATATATATATATAAACATTTATACAGAAAATAATTATTTTGTTATATTAGATCGTTGCAATGAAATTCCCGGATTATACATGAATATAAATATCAATCATTTCATTTGCAACGACCTAATAATATATTTTAAAACATAATAGACTTACAATTCTAATCTGAAAAAAGTAGTTTCAAATTAATAAAAAAACTGTGCAAATAGAAGCTTTATCCACCAAAAGTAAAATTATCTTGGATAAGAAATGTTGTATTGAGTTAATTTTAGGTTATTTAAAATATCATTTTAAATATTAGCATTTATTTTATTATAATAATTATGTAATATCTATTATTATTATTATTATAAAGTAATGTGAATAATATAATACAATAATTTTGTAACTTACCAATTGTTTACAAATATATTTGTTCAAATAATTTAAATAATGAATTAATAGAAACTGCACATGTAGGTCGTTTTACATTGCAAATCGGAACTGTTGTAGATGGCGCAAAAATCATTACCCCGTTTTGACCGCCAAGTTTCCCTACCCTGCCGCACACTGTGGCCAAGTCTCGAGTTACTCAATCTTGGAATCGACAGCGCGCGTGAACGAATCGAATCTCAAACTGCATATCTACCATTAATTGGATTGTTTTATTAATTTTCCATTTTCATGACGGCAATTGAAAGCATTAAATAAGCATTATTGTTATGATTGAGCCTGGTGCTTCCACGCGTTGCAGGAGGCGTTGGTCATTGCATTGCACTTTACTGCATTAATATTGTGCGTACACTAATATGCAATCGTAAAAATATCTGCATCACCTTATATCTGTATTATTATTCAGAAAGAAAATGTATAATGTTTTGATATGAATGAAATTTAGGTGTCCTCGGTTGTTCTTTATTTCGAAATTGGACAGAATTTATTTAACCTGTACATCTGGAGTCAATGAAGTTAAGGATTTCACAAACATTTTGGTATCCATTTTGCTTGGAATACTATTCCTTGCAATATATGGGGTGGAAAGTTTTATGTGTCACATAAAGCCATTTATTCGTAATGAAAGGTCATTTAGAAAGTATTCATTATTATTGTTATTATTATTGCCAAAACCATTACACCACGAATGACAATTAACGTCGTGAGTAAAAGAAAACACGACAGAATGTTCTAACATGGATATGTTCTTGAAGATTTTTTACAATTAACTCACAAAGTAAAGGATTCTCTAGACACAGTGAGAACACTTCGCGATCTTGACCCACGGCCCTGTGTTCCTGCAAGAGAGAGAGAGAGAGAGGGAAGATTTTTTCAACATGGCGAAGCTGCTGTTGCAATTTTGTACAGACCCCAAGTAATGTGGAGAACATGAGGCACTTCACAGACAATCGAACATGACCTATTGCTATGTCTACAATAATCCCCTTCTTAATATTTTAAAACTTAATGTGTGTTCCTCTTTAATATTTCTACTAAGAAATGGATTGTGGAGTTTTCTGTACTGCATTATATTCCTTGACTAGTAATCTCTGAGATATGATTTCAAATAGGGTCGCCAGATTGGGGACTTCTGTCGCCAAAATGAGGAATTTTTTCGTTGTGGGGAACATAACTGGACGGGGAAATATTTGGGAATTTTCGGGGAAAAGTTTCATCTGGAGGCGAGATAGAAATATAATTCTCTCAATTATGACTATAAAAAAATAAACAAAAGATGTTATTTTCTCTCATTTTTATGAATCAAAACAGAAAAATAAACGACAGGCATAAAGTAAGAAAAACGAATATAGTATTCGAGCAAAGAGCACAAATATCACTCCTCCTTAGATTCGAGGAGCTCAAAGGACGATGATTGGTTGATTTAAGTTATTTGAATATAAGGGGCCAGCCAATGGAATCATCAGGAGTTCATGTCGTTTTTCATAATGAGGAGAATATTTTTTGTTTCAAAGTTGCAGAAGTTTGTTTCATTTGAGAGGATATTTGGGAAAAATCCATAGTAGAGGTGAGGAAAGAGCTCGCAACATACCTGACAACCCTGATTTCAAATGCCTTGTATTGCAACTGTCTGTACGGGAGTACTACTATAGTGCGATTTTTTTAACTGTGCACCTGAGCCACGTCTTCACATTCGCATTATCGTTGCACTTCGTCTTTCTTGGTTGTGCCGCTAGATGTCGCATGATCGCGACTACACCAACCACTGCTTGATACGGCCGCGACATCTAGCGGCAGGATCGAGAAAGACGCGAAACGTGAAGACGGTTCATCACTTTCTAGATACATGTAGGTGATGTTGCTCTGATGCAAAGTTTAAAAAATCGCCAGAGTGAGAAAAAAACCCATCACGAAGCCGTGATTAGTTGGCGGCGGCGACGGCCTCCATCCATGAGACGAAGGGCGAGGGCGGGCCGCAAGGCGCCACCACGCAGAAGCGCACCTCGGCGCCCGACGAACGGCTGCGCACGCCCCCGCACGCGCAGTCGCGCGCGAACGCCTCCACGCCGCCCGCGCGCAGCACCCAGCGCAGCGACGATGCGCGCACCGGGTTCCCCTGCGGCAGCCAGGGCGCGCAACTCACGTTGACGGTCGCTTTAACATGATTAGTTTTTGAGTTATGAATTTAATTTAATTAATGCCTTATTTTACGTTGCGAGTCTCAGGCCTGCTCTTCCGTTTGACCTCTTCCTTTCACCAACTAGCTGAGAAAGGAGGTATTTCTTGGGCGAGAAACAGGCGATTTCAATTTAGCTCAGATGCGTCATTTAGGCTTGAGGATCTTTTACATGGGACAACCGGCTTTACTTCCCTTCCGAAGGAAGGTGTACGAAGGATTTTTTCGCCCTTAAAAATCCATGGCTTCGATCGGGTTTGAATCCGCTAACTTGGGTACAACAGTCCGGTACGCTAACCGTTACATGGCGCGCATGACGGAAATGGATGATCAAAACTGATTCTGGAAAACAAGCGACGAAGTCTGATTCATGAGTTTTGCTTACCATACTGGACGCATGATGCATCGACTTACCTTTTAAATCATAACTCGAAAACTATTGCAGATATCGAAATATTTTTCTCACCAAAATATGACGACATAATTAATGCACTGAAAAATTGTTTTCAAAAATCGATTTTTCAAACGTTTTAAGATGTATCTGCACCCTTAATGCGTTGTTTAGATTGCTGGTTGCCAAAGAGCCAAGCACGTGTCTACCGACACAAATAACAAAAAGTGTGTCAATCCTGTAATGAAATTGGCAGTCAGGTGAATGAATGGGCGAAGGAGAAGCGTACCTCCAGGCCCACGTCCCGCGGGCCGCGGGCGAGCGCCGCCCGGACCAGGGCTTCTGACGGAGCAGCCACGGAGTTGTTGAAGAAATTGGCCGTGCGCAGAGACTGGCAGCCTGCCAGATCGGGTAGCGTCGTCAAGCGGTTGTAAGGCATCTGGAGTTCTTGGAGAAGAGGGAGGTTGCAGATGATGCTGCCGGGCATCTCTGCGAAGTGATTGCGATCCAAACGGAGAACTTTGAGGTTTCTCAGAGACGTGAATGTGTTTTCGGATACATGTGAAATTTGGTTACTTTGGAGATGAAGTTCTTCGAGTAGATTCTGTTGGTGAAATATATTGTTAGGTAGGAAAGCGAGGCTGTTACGATCGAGGAATAGTTTCCGGAGGTTGCGAAGCTCCGCGAACAGGTTCTCGTTCAGAGTTACATTGTGAAGCGCGTTGTTCAGGTCCAGTGAGCGAAGATTTACTAGTCCCCTAAAAGCATGAGGAGGTAGACTAGCAAAAGGATTGTCAGAAAGCCCGAGGAGGTCGAGGTGCCTCAAGGACGCGAAGGCATTGTTAGGCAAAGTTGCTAATCGAGTATTTTCCATTCTCAGTGATTCCAGTTGAGATAGACCGTCAAATGCCCTGAAATAAAAATAAAAAAGAATTAATGGTAAAAATACACATTACTTTATTTTTTCACATTAATAAATTTTCATAAAATGTATAAACAAAAATTCTTATCATGTTTGAAAATATTTGTAGGACTTGTGTACATGCATATTCACGAAATACAATTACTAAGCTGAGTTAAGTATCCAATAAAGTCCATATTTTGTTGAAATACATTTTGGAGAATAAAGAATGATTGAAACCCCTGGTCTCAACAATATAGTCTTAATTTTATCTCGTATCCCTTGTCTGGGAGCACCTGCTCTTGTGACAATTTGGCAAATGCGTGAAATACCTTTGGAATCCAATTTACTTTTGGCGACTCTCCGGCACTCTCGTGCGCTCAAATTTTGTTGTTGAGGGAGGGGAAGGATATTTTATTTGGACGAAGGATTGTGTCGTTGCGCAGACATTCTTTCTCATTTCATTCATCCTTGTAAGAACTCACTTTTAGGAAAGAAGAATTGCCAAAATTGTCATTGTAAAGAACCATGATACTTTTATTATTTTCAATAATTTCATATCTATATATATATATATATATATATATATATATATATATATAGATATATATAACAATGTTTGTTGGTTCGTACTTTATACGCTGCCGTACCGTTCATCCGATTGCGATAAAACTTTGTCAACTTATTGCTTGTACTAGTGAAAGGAATATAGGCCTAGTACAATGGGAATGTGCATAGACGGGCGTTGATGATTCTATGCTGATGGAAGCGCCCCTGAACAGGGCGATCTACGCAACATTTCGCATCCTAAGAAGTAAGAGATTTAAGAGCCTCTTCGTTGCATATTCTGCCCTTGCGAATGTGAAATTTCGCTCGGGAGAGACAGATACAGATAGAGACAGACAGACGCAGAGAGAGAGAGAGAGAGAATCCAGACGGTGAGGGGGAGAGAGAGAGGCGAAGGAGCACGAAGACAGAGAGGACAGAGCGGAGAGAGAAAGGACGAGGGAAGAAGAAAGAGAGAGATGGAAGGCAGGACGTCTGCAGGGTTCCGCTAGTTATTAATATAGGATTCGAGTGCCGACGGTGAGTGGTTTTCAACCCTAGCTAGATAGGCAAGTCGAAATCAGCCTCTGTCTAGAAGAGAATTTCAGAAGTCGGCTGCATTGATCGGTAGTTTTTCGTGTTTTCTCCTTGGCGATGAATCTCACCATCGATAATAAATCCTTCCTAATAACTTCCCTCTAAATATCACACTTCTGTTTACAACAGAAAACTGGACAGAATCGCAGTAACAGAGTTGTTGGCTCGATCGCGAAACAGCTCTCTCCACTCCTCAATGCCCTGCCACCCCTTCCAGCCTACGCCCCGTGTAGCTGACCGTCACGATTCGTGAAAGGGAAAAACACAGAAGCGGAGAAGTTTCTGCAGTTTATGACCAGACGCTTACCTTCACATCTGCCGCCCCGACGTGCCCGCCTCGGTTGGGTCGACAGGCGGAAAAAATATACGCGAGGTTGTCGAAGCAGGTACTCCCAGACAAAGGTTGCGTGATAAAGGAAAGTTCCTGTATATCGCCAATTTCAATTAAACCTTTTCTAAGTCAGTTCCTCTTATTTACAAATATTACAAGCAAATATTGATTATTAGCATTCTAAACAACTTTCAGCAAATCTCTGGTAACGATTAATAATGTCATTCGTGGGCTTAGAGATCAAAACTTAGACGGTAGTCAGTCTTTATAAAATTATTTTAAAACTTTAAAGATCGATAAAAAAGAAACATTTCTTAACAATACCATGGATAGGAAATATTGTATTATCAGCAAAGATGACTAAAGACTATTAGCAGTCACGCAAAAATCGCCTATAAAGGGATAAATGCTATAGATGGCAAGAAACTGGGAGACATTTTAAGAGGAAGTGTTATCGACTCAGGATGTAATGAAGTGAAATCACTGTACGACCCACGTACATAACTAATACGCGCTAAAATATTTGGTTGTTGTGAAGTTGAATTATGAATACAGAAACAAACGAGCGTTGTGGCAAAAATTGATAAGAAAGTATTATCTCTCGAGTAATAAAAACTATTTGTAAAGGAAACGAGCGATGTTAAAACACCACATACTTTCTCGTCGTAATTAACGGTTATGAAATGATATTATACCGCATATCAATTAAACGAAATATTTATCACGAGTTATTTTTCTTATTTAAGCATCATGTCATTTATTTATTGTATTTTCATGTACCGTACCTTTGATAAATCAAATTCATAAAAATGTTGTATTTGTTGTTCGTATTAGAGCGGGCATAAAGTATTCAAAAGGCTCTCGCAGGCATAAAAATCAGAAAGTCCCACAAGGGTATTAACAACATCGTTACGTGTTTAGTTTCATATCTGTAAACACGCCGCAATGAATTAGTAAAACAAAATTATTTTTCGCCGTGTCTCCAAGGTATTCTATGTTCATTCTTAAATGTTTAGTTTTATTTTAAATGAAGACTTTTAAATACATACAGACAACCAAGGATAATTTCACAATTGAACATCGAGAAATAAATGCCATCCAATATATCGCATTATGAATGCATTCGAAACTTCGGTATCATTAGCTTATGCATATCTGTATACATATTCTTTATACATATACTTTAACAAAATTGAATATCATCTTATTGAACGTAGAGACATTGTCACATTGACTTTAAGTAAATAAAGCCGCCTTACGTTATCTCTCTCCCATTCATGTCACCAACAATTAAATTCTCGGAAATACATCTAAAATATCAATCTTTGCATAGGAGGGAAACGTCATGTAAGATGGTAATATCAAATTATTGTAATACACAGGGACTGAGAAGGTATTGAATACTGGTAAAATACCGGTATTTTTTATACCTCTATAACATTCAAGAAGGATTCATAAAGAAAGCGTATACGGTATGGACGTCCGAAAAGGTTATACTGGAATTTTAATTTTTTTTTTTTTTTCCCCAAAAAATAATGTCGTTCACCGTGGCCGCATGTCCACTCCACCCCCGCTAGGAACTTCAAACGTACATGTAGGAAAAGCGAAACGAGCTGTTTGTAAAACGACTTGAAGAGAAGGCTTGCGTGGGAACTACGTAAGGATTGACTGCCAAAACATAGGAGTTGTCATTGAGATGACCATTTCTTATAAACAATTACGTATCTCGAAAACGAAAGACGATACCGCCGATCGAATTGCGGTATTTTGCGTCTCGTTTAAAGGCAATTTAGAAACGCAACAATATTTTTTGCAAAATTTAAAAATTAATAAAGGATTTCTAATTTTTAAATTCTAAAGCGGGAAGGGGTCCCTGATGTCCTAGATAAGAAATCTGCGAATTAACAATTAAACATAGTGCAAATTCTGCCGGGCAATGTCCCCAAATTGTCTTTGAGGCGAATATTGTAAAATTACAATTTTTAAAAGAGATGCAAAATTATTGTTCATACTTATTTTATTTGTTACTAAAATACTGTATATGGACTTGATCTTTGAATTTTGCTGTATTTGTTTTAAATGGTTTCCTAGAAGTCATCAATCGATTCGAAAAATACACGATTTTGCAAATTTTATAAACATATGAACAATTGCAAACTTGCTATTATAATAGTTTTGTTATCGATGAATCTAAAGTAATCTGGGTATTTGATAAAGGTCCTGGATAAACAAGATAAACAATAATATTGAAAGTAAGCGCGTACGATAATGTAAATGCTCTAAAATGAGGGTTATTTTATCTCGTAACAACTTAATTTCTTCGAAAAGAATTGTATTAACAGTGGTTAAACGTATATATTCTAATATATTTCAACGTATTTACTGTCATGTTCATAAAAGTATTTCATTTTATGCATTTTTATCTGGAAATATTTCCACATCTGAACTTGCAATGTCCGCCATTCTCCACGACGTAATTTTGCTAGGCCATTTCTCCCCCTTTTCAGATTGGCTGCGGCTGTTTGTGAGGCTCCGCCTGCAATGTTTCGTCATGACAAGGGCTGCCCAAGCCGTAGAAAGGCTGAACTTAGCTGCAGACGGTGCGGTTAATTTTTCTTGCCAGAACTGTACTTGAGCGTTTGATCTACTAGCGCTTACTTTTTTGTAAACTTAATGCAAACCCAACAGAATACAATACGATAAATTTAAAATGGTTGTCGATCACTTTATAACAATTAGTCAATTGTCACAAAAACGGGACATTTTGACGTCCCCTTTTCCTTTCAAGAAATACGGGACAGGGACAAAATAAGGGACTGTCCTGACGAATACGGGACGTCTGGTCACCTTGCACTTTAGAGGCATTTTGCATGAAAACCTTCCATTACCTCCGCGCCTCCCGCAGCGGGCATCCTGTTGCATCGGCTTCGTCAAGAACGTTACGCGAGAATCAACCAGTGTAATATAATATATAAGTATATAAGTATTGTCAGTCATATTGTTCTCTCAAATCTTACCATGTATGACAAACATGTATAACCTGCACACGCAATATGTTATTCTGTATAATTTTGCCATTGAGAATTTATGAATTGCCCTATTCATGATATTTAAAAGGGCAAGTATTAATTGACAGACGCATATGTAAGCAAAAGCGCCGAGGTCACGCAGTGCACCGAGCAAAGGCACAGACCGGATGGTGTGGGCCACTTATCAGAAATATCCTGCGCGCGTCTCCGCACGTAGGCCAGAAAGAAGCTCCACCGGAAGCTTCTGAGACAGCGTGGGCTATTCAACCCACTCTCACTAAACAAATTCATTATATCCCCACTCCCTTGAGTTGCCAGCAGTGCGTCTGACCAAGCATGCCACGCCCTGCCCGGGGGCTGATATAAGCGCCCTGGCTGATTTTGCAGCAGACACTTGCAGTCATGTAGTGAAGGCTGTATGGTTGTTGGTCTCTCGCATTAACCACTTTCATTTACTGTATATTTTAGTCTTATTAAAGATTTTGTCTTCTAAAGAGCTAGAGTTGCTCATTCACCTCGTCATTAACCGTTAAGTGTCCTGCCACCTCAGAGAAGTCGAAAACTTAGCTTTTCGAGGATCCATTCAATTAAACTCTGACTGCGCCCTGTCGCTCAAAGATAAGTAGCCGGCGGCGCGCACGTTACACCAATGTCAGATTTCTAGCGCGTTCGTTCTTTCACAACTGATGGCAAATGCCATATATATTGGTCTCTTTACAATTTGATGTGCACAGTTACTAGCGGCATTCTGTCGATGCCAATTGTAAGGATATCGTAAACTATTGCTATTTTTAAGTAAACTGAAAAAGAAACAAACATGCGGTTCGCTTAATGACGTAAGTGTAAGTAACGCTTTAATGCTTTTACATTTTTTTTATTAGACCACATTATTGTGCACATTTTCTATTTAAAATGCAAAATTGAAATGTATTTATTTATTTGTCCTATACCGGGTTAAATTTTCAGGGACCATCCTTACAATAACTGTATTTGGATTATTCATGCATGTGTGAGACATTCTCGTCTTTCCAAACCACCCATGTAAATACCCGCTTTTGCCATCCTACATGGTAATGGACACCCTGCCGACAGATAGGCTGATAATGGCGGCCCGCAGAGTATCGGCCGCAGGACCTACGGCGCGCGACGAATTCCGTACATCCTTTCGTGGCAGGTCGTGAAAGGACCCAATATTAATTGCAATGCTTTATTGCACTAAACACTTATGTTTATGAGTTTCGAAAGGTGCTGAAAAAAATGGTATTTGATTATGTCAATCTGAGCATCCATCACTGTGAGTGTTGCATGTTAGGCCGGTATTATATTGTAAAAGACCTTTGTCAAGGATGTTTTATACAAGAAAATATGACGGTGTAATAGATAATATTTTATAATAGATTTCTTTTATAAAATTTATTTAATAAAATGTAGCCTGACACATCCAAGTTTTATCATACGTTTGGTAACATGGTGTCCGATAGATATGTTTGTAGGGTATTGCTCACCCAAAGTTTTAATTGAAGAGTATGAGCATTTAGAGTGTTATTATACTGTGGAGAGTGGTATTACACTGTTTATCCGGACTACAAAAATAAAGCCAAACGAATTGACGCTTATGACCTATTTTCCCGACGATTGGAAAATGTGCGGTTTGCAAAATGCTCAATTCATAAACTTAATACCTTTTAAGGGGGAATCCCCTGCAAGCCGACATGTAGGTCAGCGCCGGATACCACGATCTACAGTTGGAGGAACACCGCCACCTCCCGAGATCAAACAGCACTACACAAATGGGGCTAATAAGAGTTGACGCGGAAACAGTTGGAAACATCAATAAATCAAAAAAAAATCAATAAATCCGAAGAAGCCGGTGTTCCTCTCCCATTAATTAATACGTGAAATGAATCGAATCGTCGAATTATATGTCGGCTTCAGAGGCGTTGCACAACCCGATCAGTCGGAACAAACTCGTACTACAAACTTTTACTCCATTGAAAATGAACGGTATGCCATTGACTGACGTTAAGGTAACAAAATGTTTAGGTCTTTCAACTCAGTCAAACCTTAAATGATACGTCCATTTAAATGAACTGAACACGAAATTAAGTTCTTAATGCTACGCTTTCACAATTCTTTCAAATTCAGTCAGCCGTCACACAGTTCGTTGTGCATATTTCGGGAATGTTCATTCCCTCCTGAGATATGGCATAATATTCTGGGGAAATACATCTTATAGCTACCAGACATTTAGATTAAGAAGAAAAAAGTCCAAAAGAATTGGACGAAGTTTCTCGAAAACTCAACAGTTTTCTGTTAATTCTAGCTCAAAATTTCGAACTTTTTGAGAAATGCTGAAACGCCATTTAATAAAAAATGGCTCCAATTTGTTTCTTCAAAATTTCAAACGGATAGTACTAATTTCACTTTTTAATACGTCGTGAAATTAATTTTGGGGTATAAATGGTTTTTTTCAAAAATTAAACAAAAGTAAAAAGAATCCTCACGCCGTTTATATTCACATTTCCAGCTATTTGTAAACACTATTGTATTCGTGAGTTAACGCGCTTTAGATGACTTTAAATGAAGGTTTTCGAAAACTCAAAAATTTTCTGTGAAAATGAGCTTCACATTTCGAATTTACAGCTGCGTTTAATGGCCATTTTCTTAAAAACGGGTCCACATTTTTCAAAGAAAATTGCCATTAGGACTAGGTTTTACTGTTCTTTAATATCCTTAAAATAATATTTCTGTTCTACTATTAGGAAATCGAAAAATTAAGAAAATTTCAAAAACATGAACTTTGGGCGGCGGTAGATGGCAGAAAGGAAGAGTATGTGGCGAGTTCGAATAGTTAGTCGAGACCAAACGAAATAGAAAACTAATGCGGGAAAGTGTGTGCCATTCTATGCCACCTCTACTTCGTTACCAGAATACGACAATAAGAGTTTTTCGGCCGGAAATTATACGTCTTTTCCCGCAGCATTGCATAACTTTCTCTACTTCGTAAGCGGTAGCGAGAAAGTAATAATACAAAATGTATCTTAAGAGGTAATATTGTCTTATAACGAACTTTAAAAAACCACAATACATTAACTATTGGTGCCACAGAATGCGCAGACTATCTCGTACTAGCTAGTTTTCTGTTTTCTTTGATCTATGCTCTTTCAGGATTTGCCACATACTATTTATAACCAACTGCCATCTAAAATCAGCGAATGTACTTTTTTACTGAAATTTTCTCAATTTTCGTTTTCCTAGAAGTTGAACCGAAACATTTCTTGAATATTATTGATGCGTATTACCTCGTCCTCTAAGGAAATTTTGTTGACAACTTTGGAGCAATTTTGAGAAAATTGCGTTTAAGCGTTATTGTAAATGCGAAATGTGAAAAGCTTATTCATATATATCTTTTGGATTTTTGAAATACCTTATTGGAAGTCATTTAAAGCATCTTCACTCCCAAATGCAATAATGCATAATACACGCTGCATATGTGCATGTTAAAGGCCTGAAAGTTTTTTTTAAAAAATTTATGAAAAAACAAAAGAAAAAATAATATTATGTCGTCTTAAATAGTGAATTTACCACTATCCATTCAAAAAATTGGAGATTTTTTGAATGGATGGCATTTGAACGTTTTTGAAAATGTGAAATTTTGAGTTCATTTTCACAGAAAACTTTTGAGTTTTAGAGAAACTTTATAGAACATATTTTAATGCACATTTACGAATAATGCAATAATGTGAACAAATCGCCGCTAATGTACATTTTGCCAATGTGAGAGACAAGTAAAAAAAATACATATTTGTAATTTTAGAAAAACAAAAGACTTGTATGTAATCGTATACTGTACATTACCCATAACATAAGTTTTAAGAAACAATTTGGTGCCATTTTTGAAAAAAAATTGTTTTTAAATTTTTTTAATATTGCACATATTGAACGCAATATTGCGCAAAAATTACTAAATTAAAAAAAAAGGACGTGAAAATTACATGAAGGAACAATCTCCATCTTCGGCTTTGTAATAGGAATAATCCGAAAAAATCGAACTTTTTAAATTTTCGTAATGCCAGAGTTATCAGTGAAAACTAACCATTTTTATGAATGTATTTTAGTTCATTCTTTCGAGAAAATTTTGAAAATGTCCCTTGGTATCATGCAAAGAACCCCAAAATTTTAAAGAATGCCTTTCAAAATAGCAAAGCTTCGAGTCGAACCAGATCGACAGAATATCAGTTTTAGAATGTATCCGATGTATGGTTTGTCGTACGCATTCGTGAAATCTGACCACGTAACGTTTTTAGAGGGAGTAATTTACTACATATTAGAAGAGAATTTATCCACTTTTTCAATATCAGGTTCCCACAATACTAATTTTCTGTCGAAAAATCACCGTTGTTTACCGCAGCATTTCATAACTTCCTCTATACTACGTATATTATCCGTATATACGCATGTATACCGGAAAGTAGAAAGGTAGGAATAAGCCTGTCTCTTGTAAATTTGAGGTTGAAGGAAAGTAGTCCCAACATGGTTTATAGACAGGCACGACTCTTCTCAATTTAATTTTATTACATCTCTATGTTACAATTACTCGAATGCGCAACAGTTTCGGGGACTTATTGCATACCTTCCAAGACCTCTAACCACTACACTTCGTCTGACCGTGATGGTACATCCAGTAGCTTGTACTGGATGGTGTTTTATTGATGTGTGATATGAGCTCCTGACTCGTTTGCCTAAGGATGGAGAAAATATGTCCCGAAACTGTAGCGCATTCGAGTAATTGTAACATAGAGATGTAATAAAACTAAATTGAGAAGAGTCGTGTCTGTCTATAAATCGTCTTGGGACTCCTTTCCTTCAACCTCGGAAAGTAGAAACCACACGGTCTTCGGAGGAACACTCCAACGAGCGCGACGTGCCCCTTGCTTTACCTGTCGCTGAGCTCCTGAACGGGGTTCTTGGAGAGCGTGAGTTCGCGCAGGTGGCCGAGCCCCGCGAACGCGCCGGCCGGCAGCGCAGACACGTTGTTGGCCAGGAGCGTCAGGGACTCCAGGCGCGCGCAGCGGCGCAGCCAGCCCCCGTCCAGACGGTCGATGAAGTTGACTGTGAGCTGCAGGCGGCGCAGCCCGCAGGGCGCGGGCAGGAAGCTCAGGTGGCGCAGACGGTTCCACCCCAGGAGGAGCTCCTCCAGCGGCCGGAGCTGCGTCCCCGCCTCCGCCCCCGGCCCCTCGATGGCGTTCGCCGACAGATCCAACCTCTTCACGTCGGGACCCAACATCCCCGCGTCGGGCAGCGCGGTTATCAGGTTGTCGGACAAGTCAATTTTGGTGATGTTCTCCTCGTCCAAACCGCCAGGAAACGCCCGGAGGTTCAGGTTGCTTAATTGCACGTCGGTGGCGCCGGGGCAGATTGTTTGCACGTCGAGGCGAGGCACCGACCCATTAGGAGTTGCGCCCTCCTGGGGGCTTGCAGTCGCATCCTCTTTGTTTCCGATTCTGTACCTGTAGAAGGACCGACGACGGCAATTTAAGACTCTCCCTCGACATGTGCAGTGATTGAAAGGCTGCTCGGCAATTAACAGAACAATGCAGCTCATGAAGGTCAGGGACACGATCGAAAGAGGGCCCATCGCGTTCGCCTACTGGACAACAGCTGCAAAATTACTACCGGGAACGCGTATGTACGCTTGTAACTGTAGAGTTGTGCAGATAATGCGAACAGGACCCTGCTGATAGGATATCTTCTAGAAACCAACAAGGTGAATGTTTTGCATGATTTGCCAGAGGAATCAAATTTACTCCATATGTTGCGACTCTGAATCCGAAAGAATCTCTGTAACTTTATACCTATGATACATTGGTTACGGTTAGAATAACATGAACTTTCTACCATTACAACACCCCGCCACAGCATTTCGGGCATTAACCCCAATGTGATAGTTCTGTGTAACTTAATATTATTATTTTTTTTGTAATTTTAATAGTAGTTTTCACTTGAATTTTTAGAATACCACCGTATATAGCCAAGACTTATTAAAACATATAGTATTTACTTGCCCCCATCAGATTGCAAGCAAAGAAATACGCAGAATAACGTACAAGCAAATGTTAATTACAATACTCCTCTATGTTACGTACATGCCAAAGTTAAATCTATGAGTAAAATTGTGTTTGAAATCGCTGGTATGCGTTAAACAAAGGGTAGGCTATTAAACAAAGGGTAGAGTAAAAAATCTGCCAAAATCTCGTCAGAAGGACCGACGACGGCAATTTAAGACTCTCCCTCGACATGTGCAATGATTGAAAGGCTGCTCGGCGATTAACAGAACAATGCAGCTCATGAAGGTCAGGGACACGATCGAAAACAGGGAAAAGGGATGGATCGAAAAGGGAAAAGCGTAAATGAAACTAGTGGTGCTGAAACAACACATACTTTCTCACTTTATTTCGAAATTGTCATTTTTGCGAATTCAGATAATTCAACGAAAATGAGATTCTGTTAAGCGTACGTTGTTCTATGCGAGAAAAAACAATTGAGGACAAAATTTGAAGCGGTTTTTTAGAAAGGATTTTTTAATAAATTGCAATAATTTCAAGCACAAATTAAGCGAAAGCTCGTTTTTCAAAAAGGTATGAATTACATTATTTAAAGATTTTATCTTTTAGAACCGATTTTATTTAAGCCAAAAATTTCATATTTTGTTGTTTTGAAATGTCGACTCTTTGAAATTTCCAAAAATAGAGAGAGTTCGGCGGAAATTACAGAGAGTTCGCAGAAATACAGAGGATTCGGAGAAAATATTAAGACAAATTTGGAGTATTTTTTTTATTAAAAAAATATTATAAATTTGCCCACGTTTCAGGCAAAATTATACAAAAACGACACACATTTTCGAAAAATTCTTCATGGCCCTACTTCAAGATCTATCTTGATCTATTTTTCCCTTAATTAAAACGTTCCTTAAAGATAGATTTTACTAGATTTTTTTAGAAACAATATCATGTAGTTTTTCGAAAACTTTAGTACTTTTTGCGTAATTTTGCGTACAATATAGGCAATTTTTAATTTTGTTTAAACAATTTTTTCTCAAAAAGGCTCCATTGTTTTTGATGAAATTTGATGCAATAGTCTGAAGGACGCAGGTCTCATATAGATAAAAACCCCCATTTTTCGAAAATTGAAAAAATCACATTTTCCAGCGCCTTCCTACAACTCTAATTAAGAAGATTAAGACATTTTTTTAAATGAATGTGTTCATGAAAACCAGATCTAACAATGTCATGTTAAATTTTTCGAAAATAAGAGATGTTTTGCGAAATTTTGAGTAAAACAAGAAATTTTTATGTTCTTAAAACCGGCATAAATTTTTCCATTAAATGTGGACTTTAGATAGCTTAAAGTACGCAGAAGTGAATGATGAATATCTCAATTCATTAAAATGTCTAATTTTTCGAAAATTTTTAAAAATTGAAAATTTTCGGTGTCTTTCTACATCTTCAATTGTAAAGATACAATGTTTTTTCTTAATGAAATGTGTTTATCAAAAACAGATCTTCAAATGAGTCATGTTGCATTTGTAGAAAATCTTAGTCTTTTTTGAGTAATTTGGCGTCAAAATTAGTCGCCCGCTCCGAATATCCTGCCCTTCGTAAACGTAACATGAAAGAATATTCCAGGCAGATGGATGCTACGTAAGTTAGAATTTGTATCTTATAATAGCGTTCCCCGTCGCGACTCGACAGCTGAATTTCTGGTAATTACGTCTCATTGTTGAGACATGATTCAGCTGTATGAAAAGCAGTTACAATTGTCAAATTTTTGTTGATATTTGTTTGGAAATATGTACTTTCCGCAACAAATGTTATCCGATTTGTAATGAATTTTTCAAAAAATGATGACTGAGATGTGTTATTTTAGAGAGAAATTGTGGTATAAATAGCATACATAACCATTACTAAAGATGAGGAAGTACGTACTGTTTTAGCACCAGTAGTTTAAACTAGTGTCTGTAAAAAAAAAAAAAACCCTGTGGCCATACAAAACACCACGCAATATACAAAATTTGGTTTGTATTCTTTCACTGAGAAAATATTAAAATGTTGATTTATTTTACAGAAGGTTCTGCAAGATTGTGAGCAGCAATGGGACCTATTGCATTAGTCCCACAAATATCAAGTACCTTGTTTGAAGTGGGATTAATATTTTGTATATTTTAAAAAAAGTTAATTAATTTTTATTCTTACAGTGTAATGTCTCCTGCTGATCTTCCTGTGCTTGCCTCGGAAGATGTAGTGGCATCTAGCACATAAGGCCAATGGGGCACTTTTTTCTCGCCTAAAGTCACAACACCATCAAAGAAATGGCAAGTGTAAGATCCTCAGGCAGAACCATCAACCTCAAGCTCTCAGTCTGACGACGCAACAAGCAAAGTCTTGAAAATTCCAAAATTTCATTAAAATTAATTAATATTTCATAGGATTTAGAAATGTGGAAGATCGATCAGCACAAGGGTTGTATTTTCATACTGATGTATGTATAAAGAAACAAGGGATTGTTTTATCTAAATGTGGAGGTCAAGGATATGATAGCGCAGCAGTTATAAGTAGAATATACAATGGTGTTCAGAAAAAAAACCTGATAAACTTGACAATGCATTGTACTGCTCATAATTTAAATCTTGTGCTTAATGATGCTATGTATGGGATATTAGAAATTCAGACATTTAACAGACTGTTTGCTGAAACGAATTTTTCTTTGCTCGTAATACTAATAGATGGAGCATACTATTATCAACAGTGATGAATTTGGATAAAAAGCGACATTATCTCACATTAAAACGAGTTTGCTCTACAAGATAGCTATCACAGAACGATTCTTTAATACGTGTAAGATTTGGATATTTTAATATTTCGCAAGCTTTAACAAAAATTTCATTGGCCCGGTCTGGATAGCCGAGGTTGCTAGGGTTGAATATCCGTTCCTGGAGGATTGAAGGGTTCGAATCCCGTCCGGGGTACAGATGTTTGTGTGTGTCCGAATACCGTTACCTCCAAGTTACTTACGGTGGTCGCTTATGACCTTAGTAGTTGAAAAGCTACCTTAAATAAATACCTACTAAAAAAAAGTCACACAGTTTAAAGCGAATGAAGCCAGTATCTTGAAAATAGAAATGCAACATTTTGAATTTGTTTTCCATGTAGTACTACATTTCAAAATACTAACATCAATTACCTTCTTGGCTGTCCGCACGACGGCGCGTCGTTGGCTGAAAGGCCGGGGTTTCACCTGCCATGTCGCAGGCTTCCTCGGAGCACTGATACAGCATTTTTTTAAAAAAATTTTGTCTTCTTTTTTTCATTTTTCCCTCTCTAGAGGCCCTGGAGAGGCAGGAATTTATTTGTTTGTTTGGGTACATGGCTGCAGCCAATTAGGCTTATGTAGCGGAGATTAGGGCCTATCTTGAATCAACTTATAATCTAAACTTATTAACTAATACGAATGCCGCTTTGGGCCTATTCTAGTTAAGAAAAAGTTTAATTTTATTAATAATAATAATAATAATAATTTTATTAATTTTATTAATTTAAATAACTTTTTTCAGGAAAATTGCAAAAATGATTCAGCTATAAGTTTTGACAGCTCTTTCAGACTATGAAACTTCCCAAGAAGCACAAAAACTTAAATCAAAATATCCTGCCGATGTTACGGAAAAATTGTCGCCTTGTCTTTGCGCGACCATTTAAAGTGCCAAATTTCAAAAACAGAGCCTATTAAAGATGTAGCAAACTTTTTAATAATTGAACATTGCTCATTATTAACAAATTTTCTTGATGGGTCTGCAGAATTCACATTGTTTTTGACTTCCTGACAGCGACAATGAGGAAAGAATGTTTTCAAAATTAAAGCTGATTAAAATTATTTAGGAAGTAGAATGGCACAACACTGTCTGTGTAATTTAAGTATTTTATCAATTGAACACGAAAAAACAATGTATTTGAAAAATAATATTTCTACTATCATTCATAAATAGCAAAGAAAGATCAAAATGTACATTTTAAAATATATCATGAAATTACAAAAATGATAATTTAATTCCTGTACTAATTTATAGTAATGTTTTCACTCCAAAATTAAGTTTATAATCACAAAGTTATCTGAATGACTTGTCTACAAATAAGGGATCCTCATATTTTGTTGGTCCAAGGGCTTCCTCTATTGAACTTACACCATTGCTCTTCCATGTGAGTAAAGTAATATTGTGTGTGTATGTTCCAAACCAAAGCAAATTATTATTAAAATTTGGGAATTCCAAACCCAAGCAAATTGTTATTGCAAATTAACTTTGAAAATGTTAGAATTTTTAGAAATCAAATAACATACATTAAAACTTTTTGAGAAACCACAAAATTCAAATTTTCAGTAGTTTTGCACTAAAGAACATCACTCTGAGTCACGAGTTCTCTGCAAGGGTCACATCTTTTTTAAAAAGAAGTCAGTCTCAGTCAATTACTTAGAATAGTTTTAGTTTTAAGAATATTTCATTTCGAAATCTATTTACTATATTATTATTAATACATTGATTTTGTTTAATTTATAATAATTTTGACCCTAGAGCTTATTTATTTATTCTTTCATTGCTACTTATACACCACGGTACTTTTATGCTGATTTTGTCAGAAGTCATATTGTTTATCAGTTTGTAAAAATGCAAATGTTGCATTTATAACAGAAATACCACAACTACACTAGGTTGTACTTCACTGCATTCTGTTGCTTGAGATAAGTACTTTGTACCTGATGTATACATTTTATGAGAAAAATTCTTGTATTGAGAAATACATTTTAATACTCCAGGATCATTTTCAATGTATTTTCTGACAAATATGGCAAATTTCCCACATCTGAAACAATATATCATTGTCTCAAAATGTATCTGGTCCATTACTTTCATATGTTTTGTATGTCATTTAGATATAGTAGAAGCACATGCATTGGAAATGAGGTTGCATTCAAGTGGTAGTTGCACTTTAAAAAATTCTGAATAAAATGGACATTATGTTCATTGTTTAGTAGAATGCAAAACTATGACAGCTCTTCATCGAGCGCAATAACCCAATATAATTTTTTTTCTTCTACCAATAATATTATTATTAGCAGCAATTAAAAAAACTCAACTCATTTTATTGATGCTGCCATAAAAACTATAAAATATTAATCCAGTACATGTATATAATGATAAGCGTAATTACTGGTTCTGCACATACTGTCTGGAAACAAATAACATCTTGGAATATTTTTCTAAGAGTAACTAAGAAATGGAATGTTAGATCATTGTGAAATGAGAAGAAAAACTCAATAGTTTTCACAACCGTAGTTTTAAAATGTTTTTAAAATTTGGTTAAATATCACTATTAGATTCTTGGGCACAAATATCAATTTAATAAACAATGAAAATTATAAATTATTTGCAAATTACTGCAAAAATAATTTAAACTCAGATATTTAAATTCTGGAATAAATTAATAAGAAACTTTTATGTAAAAAATTTGATATTGATGTAATGAAAGAAAGAACTGCACAGACTATTTCATGAAATTAAGTAAGTAATTTCATTCCAAACTGAATCACTTTAGATATTAATATATTGCATTTTGTGTATGACCACCTAGCTTCTGACACTATAAAATGAATGTGACTTATGAAAAGATTATTTATTTTGCAATTTTATTGTGTATTAAATATTTTTAATTGTTTGGAGTAGAAATTGGTGATTTTATATTGTTTTTCCAGAAAAATGTTTTTTGAAGTGCACTGTAATGAAGTGAATGAATGAAGTGCACTATAAGTATTTCAATGATAGTATTGAAACCATGACTTAATATGTAATTTTAAGTGCTATTGCTAAGCAGGGGGATATGGAACTGCAGTTTTGCATGGTGATGGATTTGCAAATTAATCATGGTGGAAAAGTACCCCGGAACTGCCTACCCTCCACAGAAGTGAACTGGAAATCGCTGCGTGTGCTGAGGAATTACAGGAAGTCTCACTATGTTCTTGCTAAATGTTTTTGCCACTCAAATACCTGTGTGCTGATGCTGGAGTGAATAGCTCAGAGAGGTTTTAGTGTTATTAGCAGATATTTGCCATTTTTGTTACCTTGGTTGTTGATAATTATTCTTCGTAGTGTGCAGAAAAATATTATATCATGTTTTGGTTTTGCGACCCAGCCAATGGAATGTCTTGAGAAAATAAATTCGATGTTTGTTCTCGTTGGAAATAATGTTCCTTTTCAATTGTGTTTACCTTTCTCAGCAGTGATTTGGAAATTGTAAGAAGTTCATCCTCTTCTTTACAGGGGTACTTTTCATGAAACCCTCCGGACATTTTCAAAATTTTATTAAAAACGGCTCCAAATTTTTCTTTAAAATTTTTGTAAAAATTGAGTAAAATAGTCTTATAAAGGGGTGCTAATAGGTCCGATTTTCCCGGTTAACTCTAAATTTACGTAAATTTCAAAATTTTCAAAATTTTTGGACTTCTTCCTACAACGACAAAATTAGAGATTGAGTTTTTCCTATCACTTTATTTTATTAGGTTGTCTGTCATCCTGAGTCACCTCCATTACTAGTTATCGTACGTTTCTTACAGAATCCTAAAATAAATGCTAAATTACGCCAAAAGGACTGTACATTTAAAAATACCACACAGTGTAGTTAACGCATCTAATTGGTCAAGAGCATTACGTCACCGCCACCACCACCGCGTGGTTCCCCGTATCGCATCATTTAGTAAGGTCGCCGCCCGTTCGAGCGCAGCACAGTGGCAGGGCAACCGCTAGTCGCGAGAATTAACAGGTAGGTTGCCAGCCCTGGTTCAACCGGAGCTGAACTGCAATCGTGACATCCAACCGGATTCAGTTCGATTACTCGGAAGCTATTCTAGGATTTATGTAGCAATGCACTTGACGTAAATCAGATGTTGTAAAACGAGCTGCAGTCATTTAAAAAAGAATTAATCTATGGGAATAAAATACACTTTTCGAACAATATTTCATTAATGTTAATTCCCCGAACTCAAATTTAGGTGATGCTTATTTGCAGGTGACATGGACTCAAACAGTTCAGAAAGGCGCCAGCTAAAAGAGCAATTCACCAAAATAGAAGAACGAATTACGAAAGTGGAAGAACGATTTACCAAAATGGAGAAGGTAATCGAGCGGCTGGTGGCAAAAAATGACACCGAAGTGGAGGAATCGCTGCAGCGGAAACTGAGCATTTTATTGCCCAAGGTGGAGGAGCTTCTTGCATCCTATCAGAGATCGTCCCCTACTCTCAGTTCCCTGAACCAATTCCCTCCAGCGCAGCCCTTTTCTGCAGTCCCTGTTTCTGCGGTCACGGAATTCTGCCAAGGAAACGTTCCAAACGTTGGCCCTCCAGCCCACTCCATGCAGGGCGCCCCGGCCTCCTCCAGCCCCTCCACGGACGCTCCGAAGTCGCTTCTGGAGACCGCGGAGAAGGGACTGCGGCGCTTTCTGGGTGATGGAGGAAAAGTGAATGCGCGGGACGAGCGCGGCAACACCGCGCTGCATCTGGCTGCGAGCAACGGCCGCACGGAGGTCGCGGACTTGCTCATTGCGAACGGAGCGTGGGTGGACAACTGGGCTAACCAGCGTCGCACCCCGCTGCACTGCGCGGCCGCCAACGGGCACTCGGCGACAGTGGCGCGCCTGGTGGTCGCCGGGGCGGCATTGGAGGCGCGCGACGCCCGGGGCGCCACCGCCGTCGCCCTCGCCGCCCGAGGAGGCCACGCGGCCGCGTTGCAGTCGCTCTTGGTGCAGGGCGCGTCGGTGAACACAAAGGACGTCGACGGAAGGACGCCCCTATCGCACGCCGTCAGGGGGAACTTCTCCGCTGCGGTCACTCTGCTGGCGGAGAAGGGAGCTGACGTGAACGCCACAGCCGAGGGCGAAGACACTCCACTCATAGACGCTTCAAAACACGGAAACCTCGAGATAGTGGCATGCCTGTTGGAGAAAGGGGCCAATGTGAACACATCTGATGTGAATGGAGACACTCCCTTATTAGTGGCAGTGAAAAATCAGAAAAGTGATTTTGTACAATTGCTATTGACGAAAGGAGCTTCGCCAACAAAGAAAAACAACAAAGAAGAGTCTCCATTGTTTGTTGCCTCCAGAGGCGGCCTCGAGGGTATCCTTGAATATTTGCTGAAAGCGGTCCAACTATCCGAGAGGGCCGAGATAGGACGCTCCCTGCGAGTGGCTGCTAGCGCGGAGGTGGTGTGGATCTTGGCTGACGCGGCTCGTGACGTGGTGCTGGGGGGAGCGGGGATGGAGGCGTTAGTTGCTTCAGCGGCAGACGGACGCCAGGAAGCTCTTCGCGCGCTTTTGCACCTGGGCGTCAACGCAAATGCTTCTGTCGCGCATGGAATAACCGCATTGCACAAGGCAGCTGCTGAAGGCCATATCTTATGCGTACGCACGCTGCTGGAGGCCGGTGCCCAAGTGAATGTTAAGGACGGATGGGGTAATACTCCTTTGCATTTAGCCGCAGCCTACGGGAAAATAGAGTGCGTCGCCACACTGTTGGAGAGCGGGGCGGACGCGTACATTAAAAATGAGTATCGTTTCACTGCTGTGAATTTGGCTAAACAAAACAGACATCAAGATTGCGTGCTCACGATCGAGCGGCGAATGGCGCAAAGAAAAAATTAAAGGACTCTTTGGAAACATCTGCACCCACAATTATTTTCACGCTTACTCTTCGTTTCACAAAAGAAGAGCTAATGTGCCCTCTGTGATGATAAATCTTAAACACACCTGATAATAGAAAATGGAGAATTTCTCCAAAATATAATTGCTATTAGGGAAATGTATTTTTTACTGCAACATTATATATAAACCGTTAAAATTTCGAATTTCTTGTGTAATGCCTTTTTTTCTGTTCACAAATACCTCTTGTCACATAAAGAGAAATGAAATCTTACTAGATCAATAGTATTTTCACATCCAAATTACTCTTAATTAAAATGTTATGAATCGGATTATTAATGTTAATCAAGAGTTAACTGTCTTGATGTAACGCCTTTCATCACAGTGCTAAAGATGAGCATTTATTTGATTTTGAAAATTTCTCAAAAGTCAGATTTATATTGTAACGGTACAAGCTCATGCGCTGAAAAATTTCCATGAAAAAAAAGGAGAAAAAAAGCGGGCGCCCGCGGCGCAGCTGCGAAAGGGGGTCGTAGGTACCCGCGCCCGTTCGGCTATTGAGGCGAGGGCTTGTACGAGATTTTATGGCAGGACACCCCCGCGCGGTGCCGAAGGAGGGTCTGTCGGCAGTCCTCGCCAAATGTCAAGTGGGTGTCCCTGTTCACCCACGCGACCACTCGTAAAATGAACCCCAACGCTAGTTGCGCCCTCTCGGGAGACAAATTTACGACCCAACGGTCAGCTGCGCACGTGCAGATCCGAAGAAAACAGGCCCGTAGTTTTTTATAACAGCAACGGACATTGTGGCCGTTGAGAAAAGGGATCACGTGTTGGTTGGACACGCCTCCACCCTGCTCCGCGAAATTCAACCCCGCGTATCGGGAGGATACACGCTGTTTGAGGGAGTGGGTACCGAGGTTTGCTGTTACCAGGCCGCCGCTCTGTAGTTTTTCGATTTCATAACTCGGCCACGAGTGGTCGATTCGATTTGATAGTTCGGCCACGAGCACTCGATTCGACTTGTTTTCTTGACTCGGCCACGAGTGGTCATTGGAGTTCTTAGCTCGGCCATGAGTAACCATTCGATTTCGTGACACGGCTACGAGTAGTCACTTGATTTTTTTTAAATTGGCTCCGAGTATTCACTTGACTTCAGTAAGGCATTGACAAACTCAAGTTGTTAACTTCACTTCGCTTGCTCACTTAACCTCACGTAGCATTCGAAGCCTCTTGCGGAGGGAAGTTGACCCCTCGCGCACTCTGTCCGAAATTCAGGCGAAAAGGGATGCAGTGTCGCGCCTGAAGTCAATTTACCGCGTTATGACAATCGTCCGCGACTGCTGATACGGAAGTTGATTGGCTTCCAATCATCGCCGATGAACACCGTTGCTGCCTGAGGTTGGTGACGCTGGTTGAAATTGCGCGTTGGAAGCGCGGCGACATCAGACGGTCACGCTGGGAGCCCCTGTGTTCACCGCCTCTGCCTGGAAGAGGGCGACCCGCTCCAGAACGCAGGCCGACGACTCCACCACCGGGCGTGCTGTGATGCCCGCCGACAGATAACGAGAGTAATAATCCGCTTAGGTCCCGCATAAATGCGGTCGAACACTTGCTGAGCGAAGCGAGGGGGGGGGAGAGGGTGCCTTCAGCACGAGTATTTATGACGACCCATTGCTTTATTTTGTATTAAATTTAATAGATGGCTAATGTTCTAACAAGAGAAAGGGCCTTTTTTATTATTGTATTTCATGTAACTCATCACCATCATCATTTTAGTGAGTAAATGTTTATTACTGCAAATGTTATGTCTATTATTGTTGAAATTCCCGTTCCAGCCTCACGACCCGTGGTGTTACAATATAAACATTTATTCAAATGTTTTGCATGTGTGTTAACAGAAATATGCAATAAAGCTTCCGATTTCTAAAAATGCGAGTGCAAGAATCTTTATCCTTTTTTACAACATTCACACTCATTTATTAACTGTCAAAAAAATAGAATTCCATGAAATCTATTTGAATGATAAAATTTATACATAAGATTGTTTTTAACTTTGTTTCATTACTGTTAAATATTTTGTTATCGAAATAGAAAGTACATCTCAATGTGTCAATTAAACAGGCAATAGAAGCTACTCATTTCCCATGAGGATTTTCTCTTTGAATCACAGGATACAAAATGATATAAGAAGGATTTGTTGACGAGACTCATTGTCTACGATATAAAAATAGTTTCATTACATTTTTATATAAATATTGAAGGGGAAAATAAAATACTGATTTAAATATTTTAAATAAGTAACGTATGTGGTCTTGCTATTTGCAGATTTTTATACGAAATACGTAAATGTTCAGAAATCAAAATATTATTAAAAAATTACTAAATTGGTATTGTTAGTTTTCTTGTTTAAAAAAACATTTAGACCGTAGAACTTACAGAAGAAAATGACATGAATTTCTATTAAAATTCCTAAACTCTTGGATGAAGACCAGTGCCCGCCATCTCACGGACAGTAAGTAAAAGGTGACATTTGAGCAGTAATCCCTTCCACCCTGGTTGCAGACACGTAGCAATGCAATAAAAATGAAACAAGTTTAATAGTAAAAAGACTTGGCTCAATTCCAGGTAGTCAATAATATAATTCATATGACTTGAACATTTAAACAACAGTAAAACTTCGTGATAGTTAATCTTTATGATTATCGATTAAGCTAATGTCGTTTTCTTTTTATACTACACTCTTTAGTTTATGCAGTAGTGAACATCGAAATCAACATTATATGCCAACCATTGTAATGTTTCTTAGCTCAACACGCTTCACTAATAACTAATCATACATTAACTGCAATTTTATTTTATTTATATTTCAAAAACAATTCCACAATCTTCAAGTTTTTGAATCATTGGCATATGAAGAAATGGTTTCAGTTTTATTATGGGAAACATTTTTAACAGCACAATAAAACTGACTCGGCGGCAAATAGTACACATATACTTTGCTTCAAACACGAATAACAAAATATACTATAAAGATAATAGTTTCAATTTCCCAGTTGGTTACTAGCTGGTCAGTTGACGTCACAGTACATTTGGTATAAACAGTGCCGTGTTAACCCGATAGTTCTTAAAAAAATATATCACTATTTTCTTTCAAAAAAGAAAATCAACTGGTGGTGCTACCAAAGCACATACTTTCTCATATTGTTTCTAAATGCTCCGCAACAATATACCACATAAACTAGCAAAAGTGTATCAAGTAGCAAATTATTTTTTCCGCTCCGACACTCGAACTCAAATACTCCGAGTTAACGTGCAGACACTCAGACCACTACGCGACAGAAGCGCCGAATGGATCAAACTAGGACAAATGCATAAAAAAGTGAATGCCCGATTCATGTAAAAGAACTTCACAATCAAAATATCCGTTAGAAACTCTCAAAGCTTCCAGTCCGTTCAGATCAATTAGGGAAAATCAGTTTTGAAGAAAATCAACTGAACGGTTTACGCGCTAGCGTTGACCACAGACGTCTACACGGACGTCTTGCCTTCAAACGATATTTCGGTATCAAGAACCAACAAAACATAGATTCTCGCTACACCACATATTATAGTACTCTTTTCTAAATTTAGCAAGAGGACTTATCTACCTTTTCGTTACCAGAACCCGGCAATAAGGTTTTTTTTGGCGAACTTTCAGCGTTTTCTGGCGCACGATTACATAACTATCTTCTTACGAAGAATTACTATGGCGAGAAAGTAAAACTTACAAAAGTGATGATTAAACTATACGCAAAAAATGAACAGAGTGATGTCTTGCATCACTAATATTTATAATATTGTTGATTCATTTGTTTCCATTTTATATTCTACCATTCAATAAAAAATTAAAACTAATCTGTAGTATTTTTCGATGTAATTATAAATATGTTATTCTTACTTATACATACATCTTTATTATTATTATTATTATTATTATTATTATTATTGTTTTGTTTGAATAAGGTTAAATGCTATCAAAACGACCCTGGGTATGACCGTGGCTTCAGTTTTCAGAGTTATAATATGTGGTGCAATGCCACATTATGCAGTGTTCATTACGTAGCGGTAGTAGCTGAAACCTGTCATACGCTAATGTAATTTTAGGATACAAATCAGCAGATGCATCACTAAACACGTAACGAATTTTCAAGTTTTCATTCAATTCATTTTGCAGTTTTCTTTAAAAAATCTACACTCGTTTTTACATGGCGCTTAAGCGCTACTGAAAATTCGAAACTTGAACCTCTTTTCAAAGAAAACTATTAAGTTTTCAAAAAAAATCATCTAATAATTTCAAGTGCTTTCATTCACAAATGCAATCGTGTTTACAAATTGCTGTTAAAGTGCTTATCAACGGCGTGAAAGATCTTTTAAAAAAATTACAATTGTGTAATTTTTTTTGGGAAAAATATACATCGAAATGAATCTTTCGCAATATTAAAGAATGCAATTATCATTATCCGTTCGGAATGCTTGAAGAAAAATATTTGAACCGTTTTTGAGAAAATTGCGTTTAGCGTTTCTGAAAA